ATTTTCATTCTCAGAACTATATGTTTATAGTTAAATAAATAGTTCCTTATCTCAGTTCCCTATATGACTCTAGTCTTGCAGTTCTCAGCCAGTATTTCTCAACAAAATATACTCCAGCTTAACCGCTGCCCATGCTACAGAGCAAAACCTAGGGTGAATTGATCAAGGCAACAACCAAGTAACATTTAAAGATGTACTTGTAGGGCCACAGGAAGTGGCATGGTGGTTGAGGTGCTGGCCTCCCACATGACCGAACATGGTTCCTGGACCTGGGCAGCTTGCTTTCACATACTCTCTCTCTTCCTCTTGTCAAGTTGAAAAATAATTATAATAATCATAGTTAAAAATAAAATAAAATAAAATAAATAATTCTTTTTTAAAAAAGTGGGGAACCAGCAGTTAGCGTAATGGCTATGTCGCTGGATTCCCACGTAGTCGACCGTGGTTTGCGCACCAGACCCGGTGGCTTAAAACTCATGCCAGGCGCGTGTGTGTGCGTGCCCAAGATCCCGTGAGGAGAATGGAGGAGAAGGGATTATGGTGTGACCGTCCCCCCTGGGGGGTGATTTCTCGCTTCCTGTCTCTCTGTCTCTCTCTGTCTGTCTGGCAAGCGCACGCGCCCTATAGCGAAAATCTCTCCAAAAAAAAAGAAAAAAAAAAGAAAAGTGTACTTACTCTCTGAAGTTATCCTTGCAACTGCTCAAATCAGAGACTAAATCCCTTTGCATAGGAGAAGCATCAGGCTAGCTGCTTGCAGAAGCAGTAATGTACTGCTTATAAGAAGTTGGAACCCACATGGCAACCATGGTACCAACCTCCTGCTCAGTCAGACTGAGATACACTGCACTGGGCACATGTGTGAATGCGCAGGATTTGATGGGCTTGAGAACTGGAGTAAGAGAATCATGGCATGACCAGTCCCTATGGAGGGTATGCCACTCTCCATCTCTCTATCAGGTAGGTATGTGTGCCTGCACTCTACTGTGAATAAAGAAAAATAACATTTCTTTTTTTTTTTTTAAATGAAGCATCAAACTCACTGTAAACTTAAACAAGAAAAAGTTAAAATTGTTAAGGCACAAAGTAAAAAATTGTAATTTCTTAGTTTCGTTCTCATGTAGAACAAAAGAATTTATTCAAATCTCTTGCTAATACTCAGGTCCATTTCTTGAGTGCGGATTGTTGACAGGGAGAACTCCCACATTCACACTCCATACCTATGCAAACTAGTCTGCCCTGCATTCCCGTGGCGTGTTCCTTCTTACTTATGTCCAGTTCCCAATGGACACCACCGGCATTACTGCATCCCTTATATCCCTGGGCTGGAAGAATGGTAAAGACTTAAACCATTGTTGCTAGTCTTTGAGTGTCTCATCTTTTCTTGTTTCCCTTAACCTAATCACTTCTCTATATATTAAAAAAAAAATACTTTCATTAATTTAATTAGAACTTGGGGTAAAACGTGTTTCCTTATGAGACTCTGAACCTATTAATTCCCAACCTTTCTCCATTTTGCGGATTGATAAGTGTGTACATTTTTCACAGGTGAACCCTAAGAAAAAGATAGATTCCTCTTGTATTTATTTATTATGATTCACATAGACCTCTGTCTGTGGCAAGTTTCCAGGTCATTCACATTTATATCATTTATTATTATAATGCTCTCCTGATTTCAATATTATGGAAAGGCCTGAGTTTTACCCTTAAAAATAACACACAAATTCAAGATTTAAACTAATCAACATCATCATAATAAATCTATAAGCTCATGCTGTCTTCAAGACAATCCTGAAGTTTCTCCTGAGAAAGGGTGAAAAAAAGCTGTTTCCCTGGTGATGAGAACCCACCAAAAAGTTTATAAAGAAAACAAACTCCCCTCAGGCAGTAATCAGTGGTCAGACAGTATCTGACAAGCACAGCGGAATTTTAGTTATTGCTCTAGGGCTGTTCTTAGTTCTGGTCAATTCCTTTGCTAACTGGGATATGAAAGGAACCCAAGTGAAAATAGTCCGGAGGAAAAAAAAAAATAAGCAAGATAATGTAAAACAAACTCATTATATCTGGAATATTAAGGCTTTTCCCTAGAAGATTTTCTTCTTTTTGCCCTAGAGCACTTGAAAGTTCTGAAGATCCATTTAATGAAAAGTCAAAATAATATTTTACATAACACTTATTTTAGGCTTAAAGGCTTGCTACAATGAAACTGGAACTATAGTGAACTTAATGCAGCAAAATAAACTGAAGAGTGCCCATAAAAATATATAGGCAGTAGTCAACTGATGCAAGCAAATAAGCTTTATGGTATGAGACCACTGATTTGCGTTAACACCTAAATTCTTTCTGCCTCCTTCTGGAGTTCTCATGCCGTAATAGCATCTTTTCCTAGACATTTTCCTCAGAAAGGAACAGCAGCCCTACTTCCTGACTAATTAGAATGGTTTATAATTAGGTTTTGGCCTGTAGGAAGGGATTAATCTCTGTAAGAGGTGTGGGAGATTCAGCAGCTTCTGTTAACAAGTGTATTCCTGCCAACATTCATTTATTTATTTATTCTTATTTTGAATTTCATTTCATAGAAAACTTTAACCCACAGATATAATTCTGAGATGAGGGTTAAAGTCAAAGTCACTCTCTTTTGTTCCTAACAAATTTTAAGTAAATTTTTATATTTATTCTCCTCCATATACAAATCTTGAGGTTTAGAGTGGTCAGTGGTCATTGAGTGCCTCAAAACTCAGCATCTGGAGATTCTCCTCTCTTTATCCAAGAATAAAGAATTTTGGTACCTGCCTATCCCAAGCCCTCAATAAATTCCACAATTCCACTGGGCCCCCAAAATTCTGCTAGGTGTTGGGAGGTATGAGAATACAAGGTAGAATCTTTCTTGGCATTTATAGAACAGCTGAAAAGTATACATTGTTAGTAACAATATCAACTTGTTCTGAGCATCAGGATTACTCTTCAAGGAATGCATGGTTAAATATCATCCGAGCTGTCTAAAGAGTAAGAAATATACTTTTAAAGGAAATCATTCTAATCGTGCCCCTGCCACCAACCAGAGCTATAATTTGGGGAAGATGTCTCTTTCTAATCAATACAATTACCAAATCCCTGTAATTTCTTCCTGGTTTAAATGTTTGTTGTTTTGTTATTATTTTATGCCAGATATCTTGGGCATGGGGAAGAGTTTTCTCATTTCTAATTGGCAACATGGCCTTTTTCTCAATGAATAGATAGAAGTAAAAATAACTTTTAATATAAAAGGATCAACTCTAAGTAGAATCACTGTTCCTCTCACTCTGATAGAGTTGATAAAGTAGACAAACATAATTCTTTGTGAGAATCTTTTGTATCTGGATGCTACAGAATTAAATGTTTTTGTTAAATATGTCATTTATCACTGAAATTGTATAAGGTAGAAGTAAAACTTTTAGAGCACATTTTATTTTTTTCTATTTCTTTTCCCTTGGAATCAGTTTCTTCTCTGAGCATGATGAGAAATTGGGCACATACTTTTTTAGACACCTCAAATTCCCAGGGTATAGTAGCTTGGATCATTCTCATGAGCCAGACTTTCATTCTGCTGCTATGATCAGACCTTGACTGAATGACTGTGTGTTCTTCTGTTATTCGTTTGTAAAATGAAGATAATATTACCTACCTTAAGGATAATGGTGAGAATGAGGCAAGATAATACTTGACATCCTCATGATATAGAACATGGCACACAGTAAACATTAAACACCCAATGATGATTGGCCAGTACTGTAGCTCACTGATTTAAGGAGCTGGATCCCACATGACTGACCATAGTTCAGATTCCAATCCTGGCAACTTTAAAAGCATGCCAATAACATTCATGCCCAATAGTCTGATAAGAATAAGGAATGGAGGAAAAAAGGATTGTGGCATGTCCTATTAGGAGGCACTTTCTCTCTCTCATCCTTTCTCTCTTTCTAGAGAGCACTGTGTCCCTGGTCTTAAAAAATGTAAATGTCCAATAATGCTAGCTATCCTTATTTGATAGCTAATAATATTCCAACATCTATGTCTTTTTATGTAGCTCTACTACAAGCTCTTTAAAATCAGCTCGCATATCCATACCTCTGGGTCTTGTTCCCATCACCCAGCAGAGTACCAACAGATCAGACACTATTAGTCAAACAGTACTTAGCAGTGGTTGCTAGTTTCTATAAGACACAAAGTAAATAGCAAGTGAATAAATAGTGGAATAAGTTTTGAAAATGTAGCTCTAGGACATACTGAATGCCAGATATGCTTATTACATTAGACCAGAACTTAACAAGCCTTCATCTGAATCCCTTCGCTGAAATTTATATACTGTGAATCTCAGAAAACTGCACTCCCAAACCCATTCTAGTTGAGCCCCATGGGAGAGAAAGCAAAATAACCTAGATTTGGCCCTTGCCACAAATGTCTATGTTAAAACAAGTATCTCTTGGTTTCTACATATTCTCCTCCTAATACCAGCATGAACATAATCTGTTTCACTTACATCTCTGCCGGTGAACCATAGAATCACTGTAATGTTCTGGCATTTCTTAGCCTCTTAAAACATTTCTTTTATTTCTCTGGGTGAACTAAAACATGATAGTAACTTTTTTGAAAGTCTACAGTTCAAGTCAAAGATTCATTAAGTTTCCTTAATGGCCCCAACCTTAAGAAGTTACTTCTGTCAAAGTGCACAGGGAGGCCTCATAATGGTCAAAGATTAAAAAGCACAGAGGTAAGAGAAATGGAACAGCTAGAATTAGAATAACATAAACTTTTGTAGAAAGATAATAAGAATGAAGTGCTCTATCTTACAGCAATGGTCTATTATACCCAAAAGGACTCCCTTTGTCATACACATGTAGACACAGACTTATGCATTTGGGAAAAAGACTAAAACCTCACATGGTTGTTTCCAACAGTACTAATAGCTACTATTTTGTAAGTTTTAATTAGGTATGAGAATCTATACATTTTTTAAAGAATTTGTGGTTGCTTCGGCAGCACATATACTAAAATTGGAATGATACATGGAAGATTAGCATGGCCCCTGTGCAAGGATAACACACAAATTCATGAAGTGTTCCGTATTTTCATTTTTTTAAAAGGAAAGAAGAAAAAAATTATTTTATTTATCTTTATTTATTTATTTTTATTTGACCAGAGAAGGACAGTGTGAGAGAAAGAGAGGGAAGGTGGGAAAGCAAGTTGCCAGGTCCGGGACTCGAACCACCTTTGGCCATGTGAGAATCCAGTTCCCTTAACCACCACATCACCTGTAGGCCCCAGATTCCATGTGTTTTATCTGCAGTTCTTAACACACGCTTCTAGGGACCTGCTGTTATCTTTATCCTCTGAATGTGATGATGAAACTCGGAGTCTGCTTGGGCCATGAATGAGGCACATGACTCAGCCTGATGCCACCCAGGGAGAGCTTCCTGCTCCATGCATCACATAGATCTGCATCCCTCTCGGCACATTCACCCAGTGTCGTCATCTACTTTCATTTTTTCTGATTTACAGGTCCACCTACAAGAAAGTTTGAAATATTAGGGGCTAAATTTAGTTAATGAGCCTAATATTCTAAAAAGTGCTCATCCAAATATGTCCTAGAGACTGTGAACTATTCCAGACTCTCTCTCCATCCAAGCCCATAGCTTTCTTCACCTGAAACTTAGATAGTAATGTTTACATGTTCTCTCTCTCTTTCTCCTTCTCTCTCTCTCTCTCTCTGTATATAT